GTACTAGCAGTCACCACTCATTGGCCATGCCGTCTCGAGCAAAAAAGAACACTTCTCACAAGGTAAGTGACGATACCGTTTCTGACCAATAATTCTGCTACCAGGGCGTGCTGACTTGTCTCTATACGAGTACGCCATCAATCTGCCTTTCCCATTAACGATGGCAGATTTCATTTGCATTTTAAAAACTGTATTCTGATAAGCGCACGTTGCAATTTTTCACTCCAGGAATCGACAAGGATCACGATCACTTTCGGACAGGCGTCCTTAGTCCTGTTTACTCATATCCTTGAGGAGAATTTCAACTAAGATGCCCAGAGATTGACGCAAACCGGTATATTGGGTGCAGGCTACCACGTGGGGCTGAACAACACATAAGACTCAGTTAACAACAGGACACGGTTGGAAAACGGATCCGAAACGTCATCGAGATCTTCGTGGCCAGCCATAATGTAAAAACGCTATTGACAGATGTGTTCATCGATGTCTACATCACGGAAACGAAGAAGATCATGCCGGACATCAGTGGAATATGCGGCCCCCGAAGATCTTCCAAACTTGTTGCACAATGGAACAACGGTGGGAAGGCCTTCGAGAACCGATCTCGGATCATATGCGTTGGCTTTACAACAAATTGGCAGGTTGTGCCATATTTAATGAGCTATCATATTATATGAACTGGCATAGTAACTATATTTTTACAGAAGGATGAAACAAGAAAAAAAATAACCCACGCGTACAGACCAGCCTAACAGGCTGAAGGTGAAGAGCTCGAGCACGTCTATGAGAAACTGGAAGACGCAGTGTAAAAGAGAATTAGGGCTACATGATTGTCCAACGAGATTTCAACGCAGTGGTCGCAAAAATAACGAACAACAGGTATCGAAACGTGAAAGAAATGATCCTTTCGCAACTTCCTCTGAAAGCAACCACCTTTTCCTTACGTTTACGAGGAAGCTCCCAAGCGACAGGGGACACGGAGAAACCCAAACATAAAGTCTTTGAACCAATCAACTATGTGCTGATGTATTAACAAACAAAAAACGATCAATAATAGATGTGTTGGTCATAGGCGAAAGTATAATCTGTTCAGGGCCAGGGTCGGAACAAGGGCTTTCACCGTCCACAGTTATGATCGATGTCGCGAAAGAGCTGACCGCTATGTGACGAAGAACGATTTGATCCAAAGGCTTTTACAGTAAAGTTGCCATTGATGAACCTTGGAATAAATGACAACGCGGACACACATCCTAAGTATCAGCATTTTGTCAACGCCATCAAAACTACCGTTAACTGCAAGCCAGGCACCGCAAACGAGAAACCAGCGCGCAAGCCCTTCAACGAAGCAGCTGATGGCATAAAAAGCACAACTGCAGACCGAAGCGAAAACTGCATTGTACCAAGGTGGTGCGATACGCTAGAACTCCAAAAAAGACTAGGAAAATTAGAAGAGAATTCGATTAAGAGAAGAAGTCGGTCGTTGAGGAACACCCTGGGATGAACTGATGGTCAGACTGCTTTGTAAGCAGTAGAGGCAGAAAGCGGAAAATTGTGAATGTTGGAGTAAAGTGGACTTGCGTTCATCGCATAGCCATAACGAAGACAATTCGGGTAAGTAATAGGGGGAAATGAAGCCGATGACTAGCTTTTACTCGTCCACCCTTTTAACGAAATTTACTCATA